ACCGAAATACAACATAAAGCCAAAAAAGCTTATCCGAATGTGCCACATCACGTTACTGCAAAAGTGTCTAGACTCCTAGCGGAGTCGTCACGATGGCAAAAATTAATTGCCTGCTTTTAGACCACGCTGTACGGTAAATATATAGAAGACCTATAGGTGATGTTGAAAATTTTAGATTAAGTTTCTATATATTATGAATACGTATTATGTATTACAATCTATTTTGTATTCTATTTCTTTGTAAAATATCGATATTTAATCTTTTATTCTATTATGGAAATTGAAGATGGTTTAGCATGAAAATCAAGAATCACGTAAGCACCAAAAAATTCGCGCATGTGTGATTACACGAAGACTACGCCTTAATACTTTTCGGTGTACTATATACATTAATTTTACGGTGTACACACCCAAATTTTCATGTAAACGTAAGATTTTGGGTGTAAACGTTAAAATTACGATGTCTACATGGGTTGGTGAAAAGTAACTAAACAGTGACCTTTTTTTAAACTATTGATTATCACTTAACGTTTATACCAGTATTACGTAGATATATAAATAATTATAGAAGGTCAATATTAGCGGAGATAGTAAAATAGGTTACTATTCAGTTACTTTTCACCAACCCGGTATAAGAACCGTGAATTCAATAAACGAAAGACAGGAAGTCTTTGTCTACTTTTAATTACTAATTCATAAACTCTTTCGAGACACAATTCGACGGACTAAATTGACTTGTAACTTCGATTCGGCTTATTAATACTCGAGCTTGGGTGTACTCGTGGAATCAAATATTGCCATTAACATTGGTTACTTGTGGAAGTTGTGGTAAAAAAATGAGAATTAATCCGTTACCAGATTCTGTATCTGTTAATTAGTCACGTGAGCTCAAAGTTATCACTGATATCATTTGATCATCGTCCGCTTTTACATCATCCTTATTGAGATATCACTAAATCATCAACACCGTCCTTAAGATCATCGTAATATCATCACCCTTAACAGCATCACCCGTCATTGCATCACCCCATCATCACCTATTGATATCAAAGTATTCGTTCTATAGCATCATATTGTCCACAATTAGTCCTTTAAAAGCCCTTCGCTTAACCAGAGTTTATCATTATCTCCCTACACCTTTGGAGTTAAATTGGTCTCTTGTTCATCTTATCTTACGTCGCTCCCCCGATCAATGGTTACAGTATCATATGATGATCAGCATACAGTCAAACCTCTCTATAATTACACACTTGGTTTTAAGAATATGGTGCTTATAGAGAATTTGTGCTTATATAGAGGCTGAATTTTATAAGTATTATACAAAAATTTGTGATTATAAGCAAATGTGACTATAGAGGAGGTGACTATAGAGAGGTCTGACTGTATTACACAAATGCGTGTTTTTTTTACAAGTTGAATCGGGAATTAAGTTTTAATTAGCGGAAAGTATTTTTAATCAATCAAAAGAGCTTAATTCATTGCGTCAAAAAGAAAATTTAAGTGTTTATTATTTAGTCAAAAAACTTCTTGTCCTGAACTACCTTTTATTACACTGGTTTATCAAAACTTATAATTATTAAAATAACTAGAATTAGGCCAGACAAGTTATTTAACATCTCTATCTGCAACACAGGTAATACTAACCAAAAAGAATTTTTTTCTGATATAATTGTATATCCAATATTGATATTAACTAATATAAGCATGTATTAATTTTATTTTGGTTTTTTATATAAATAAAAATAATTAGAAAAAAAATTTATAATTCAAAGAAGTAAGTTCTAATAATCAAGCATGTTGTAACAAATAAAATTATTGTCCAAATGTTTTTTTTTATACCCAAAAGTGCTTGAATAAATATAAAAGCTAACAGTAATAGTATAATTACGACTACAGTTAAACTTCCAAAAAAACTTCTAACAAAAAACTCTAGAACTTTCAATACACCTATAATTGTTTTTGATATAAAGTTTGAAATTGTGTTTGTAAGATAAAATGGAATTCCTCCTATAAAATAAAATACAATTAACGCGAAATTTAAAATTTTGACTGTACAATAAGATGCTAACTCCTGAATTCTTTTTAAAGCTACACTTTCTCTAGAATTAGAATCCTCAAATGCTAAAACTTCATATTCTTTAACAGTAAGCTGGTATAAATCAGTTATTTTATAATAATAATCAGTACGTTTACTGGTCCAATGGTTTGATTGCATGCATAAATCGAAATTTCCAAAACAGGGCCCATGATATTCATCACTCCAAACAGCCTTGTCATTTTTTCTTACAATTACTCTACTTAATTTTGGGGTTGATTGGTCAGTAAATGAAAAAATAAAACTATCTGTAG